ACAGCAAATCCCTTTGTCCTCCAACCCTCCCCCCAAAAAAGCTCAACTGCTGAAACCAGACTGCCTGGGTTCAAATCCCAGCTCTGCTACTTACTAGTTGAGTGAACTGGAACAAATGACTTAAACACTCTGTGCCTCCATTTTCTCATTTGTAAAACAGGGATAAAAACAGTATCTACTCCATAAAGTTGTTATAAACATGAGTTAATATGTATAAAGTATTTATGACCCTGCCAGGCACACAGAATATGCTCATTAAGCACTACTACTGCTCAGATGCAAAAAAGAAAATTCTCAGCCTCACAGCTTTAAACACTTTAATAGCTTAACAAGTACAGTGTCACTATAAAAAAAAAAAATCTATACTATCCAAAAGCTGTGTCTCATCAGGCTAGCAGCCCAGATTCACACAGATTCTCCACAGACCACAGTAGCAGATTCAACCAGGAAGCAGAAATCAGCACTGAGATCTAACTAGCAAAACAACTAATACTCAGTGTCAGGCACTGATCTTATTTATGCTCACAAGAACCTCACGATAGCTGGGCATGGAGGCTCATGCCTGTGATCCCAGTATTTGGGAGACTGAAACAAGAGGATCACTGTGACTTTGCAGCCAGCATGAGCGACATAGTGATTTCAAGGCCAGCCTGGACTACATAGTGAGACTCTGTCTCAAAAAAAAAAAGAACTTCATAAGTAGGGTTCTCTTACTATCACCATTGATGGGTAAGAATCTGAGGCACAGAGAATGGTTCAATTAATAAAGGTCACACAGCTACAAATGGCAGTCAGGATTTGAACTGGGCACCCTGGCTCTGCCTTTGGAAAAGGAAGGTTCTTGACTCTCTAGAAATAGAATCACAACTAAATATAATCAGTTCTTCTTAGGTATTGAAGCTGGCCTAGTAACAGGATTTGGGGTGTCCTGTCTTGAGTAAACATGAGTGAACAGCAGGGGGTGTGGAGAACAAGAGATGGCTAGTGACGCCTTCTAGATCAACCAGAACAGTACAATCATAAAGCAGCATGGTTCTAAAATAAGTTTCAATAAGAAGCCTGCTCCCAACTTTGACAACCACAAAGTGCCAAAGGACATGAGGACTACAGTCTTTGTATTGTGGCTTCAACCCCCACCCCTCTGTGCAACACCAAGCCACAGTCTCTTAGTTTAGCTAATGAAGCTGATTTCTTTTTAAATGTGGAGCAAATACAACGGAAGGGAAGAAAGCTATCAGAAAAAGGCAAGTTCCATAAGCCTTTCCTTCCATTACCTCACAGGTCCAAAGGTAAAGCAACTCTCAAATATCAAGAGTTTCAGGGATGCGGTGTAAGATGATAAACATTCACAGAACTTTACACCAGTCTGGCTGATCCCTCACCATGAACTCATCTGGGGTTCTCTTCCCTCCCCACCAAACTGCCTTTCCCTTCCTCTGACACAATTGTCCCTCGATCCACATCCCCTGGGAAACATTAATGAACCCTTTTTACCAAAAGCAAAATGCCAAAGTAGACATGCAGCAAGAATGAATTCAGGAGTTGGTGACAGCAGGTGCCCAGATGATCAGTGAACATTGGAATTTTTTCTCATGATTCCCCACCATCTGTCACCCAAAAATTTCTACTTCCAGGCAGTATGTCAAACTGAAGATGTGATGGGAAGACAGAAAAAGAAACTGTGAACATATAGGCAACTGATTTATGAGGGATGTGTTAAACTACTTTCATTCAGCCTGATCTCTAGGTTCATGCTCAAATTTGCTTGCACAGATGAAAGCAAAGAAGGCTCAATTCTACAACTCTCAAAAGGCAGGCTACATTCTAAGCAAAACATCAACTTGGGGACCACAGGCAAAGGACAACCTCTATAGAAGAGCAGAGTAAATGATTCTTAGCATCACTCCAAGCCGTAGATTCTTTATGAGGCAGTATGCCAGTCAGAAAACTGTCACTGGAGGCCACCTTACCCGCTCTGGGGTTGGGCTGGGGCAAGTCGCTACCTCTTCTTCTTTCAAAGCAGGCACTGTGATTTCTTCCAATCCCTGGGGCCCCTGGATCTTCAGCTGAAATTGGGGCAGATGCTGCTATAGGAGTTGTGGAAAGGCTGATTTAAGCCTGGAAGAGGGTCATTCCACTGCTTTAGTTCCCTCCTTAGTAAGCCTCCCCAGCATTCTAGAGCTCTCTTCCCTCCTTGAGCACTCTCCCTCTACTAGGAAAATCCCCTTCCCTACCCGCTGGCCCGGTAGTGTCAGGCCTCTGGTACCCCCTCTCCAGCCTCCTTTACTCTCGGTTAAGAAATTCTCTCCCAATTCTAGGCTCTGCTTACTTACTCCAGGGCCGGAACCACACCTATTCCGGTCCCCCTCACCCCGCCCC